TTCTCAGTGAACAGGTTTTGATAAGAGGTTGGTATACTACTTAGCCATGAGAAGTTTGATGAAATTTCTCAAATATGTTAGTATGGTGATATTTTTTCCAAGTACCGCCATGCATCCAACCACCAAGGCCATGCAACTGCTTCAGGTGGGAATATCAGCTCTTTTCCTCCCTTTTTTCTAAGCTAACAGGTTTATAGCAAGGTTAAAACTTGTCAGGATCTTTTACTGAGATGAAATTACTTTTACTAAGCTTTTACTGCTGTATCACATAAGATTCTGCTTCACTTAGTACAGCACAGGAATTGCTCTGCAACTTCCAATTCAACAAGATAATCACACTATAGCAAATTATTACGCCAACACTTTATTAAAAGTAGCGTTCATGGCTACATGACACCTACATAAGCCTTTCATGACAACTGACAGAAACTTACATAAACATTTATAAAGTGAAAAATCCATGGCACTCTTTATTTGAGTAAAAAGTTATTATTTTAACACGAAAATCTCTCAATGCGTTTTAGCATGAGCCTTCATCAGGGAAAGACACTGTACAGCGCATATATATCACTGCTGTCCAAAAAAAAGTATTGAGCTGCCATTTGAGCTGACTTTGATCTTTTAACGTCATTTGTACACAGCAGCTGTCCCTTACATTGTGTGAAAATTTGAAGATAAATGGATCAACAGACACACAAGTTTGTATATATATATATATACACACACACACACACAAACATGCAAACTCCACACAGAAAGGAACCAGGCCACTCGGCCGGAAATCGAACCGATATATATTTATATATATATATATATATATATATATATATATATATATATATATATATGTATATCTTGCCATTGTCCAAAGAAAACCTTGTATCTCCAAAATGACAACTTTACAGGAGAAGGAAAAAAACTACTTTTCTTTTACTGCAAGTCAATGAAACCAGACTTTTTTCCCATGTAATTTTTGGCCATTTCCTTTGGTCCATTCATCATGAGATGTACACACAAGGTATTTTCAAATTATGTCAAAAACTGAAAAACGACAAAAAAGGAGACACAAGGTTCTCTTCTAATAGTAGTGATATACACACACACACACACACATATATATATATATATATGTGTGTGTGTGTGTGTGTGTGTGTGTGTGTGTGTATAGTTTAGAACAATGTGTAAAGTAGGGGTGATTTGACTTGACCTTCATGAAGTTTATGCTTCAAATGCAAGTGGTATGAAGAACAGATCAGATTGGCTCATGATTTGATGTACTCAAGATGCATGTCCAGCACTGCCTGTTCAGATGGAATGACTAATTAAAATGTAAGCTTATTTGTTCTGTTAGTCAGGGCAACTAAAAAACAGAAACTTCAAAAATGATTGTTTTGAAGGTCAATTTTGACAATGTGTATTCAAGTACTTGTTCGGAAATACCAGCGAGTATTCAAAGCCTGCAAAATGCTGTTTGGGCCAATTCTAATGTCAGGACATTTCACAATCTAAGGTTTAGATTTATACAGAAGTTTAAAGAAAGCAAGCCTGTTGGTGGTTTTTCCTCTCTGGGGAGCCATCCCTCCCATCGTAAACGTTTCAAGAGGATGTCCTCTCTGCTTTGGTGATACAGTGCCACCCACTTCACCATCCAGTATGGTATGGAGGATGTGTGGATTACTCAGATAGCAGCAATGATAGTGTTTTCCATTTGATAATGCTCTTCTTTTAAACTAGAATAACCGTCACAGTGTATATGCATAACATTCCAAAAAGACAGTAAAGAGAGAAAGAAAACAGAAACAGGAGTACACGCTTTATGACTGTAAAAGCTACAGAAGGGTATAGTAGAGCTTGCCTTCAACTAGTGTTTTTTCTTTTTCAAAAGGTCAGCTAAGAGAAGTTCTTTGTCCATTTTTTCCCAACAATCCTCCTGCGGCAACATCATTCCATACCAATGGTCATTAATGTCCAGCTTGACCTAGATAGCCAATGAAAATGTTTTCTCTCCCCAAGATCGCTTCCTCCATGTCATGGCAGTATGACAAGCCAAGGTCGCACCAACATCTAGGCGTCTATATAGTACTACAAATCTGAAAACAAGTTCATGAGTTAAGACAGGGAATACTTCTGGAGCTGAAAACAACGCTCAAGGCAGCATCTAATTGCTCTGGCACTGGGGTAAAACTAATAATTGCATAAGAGTTTGAGGGTCTGAGGCAACACAACTGTACATCAAGTCAAAAGAGGCTGTTCCACAGTAACTGGCCAAGTACATTTCTGCCAACACTATCAGAACTATCAACTAACCCTTCTCCTGCAAGCACTCTGTGCTGCTGAACGTAATAAAAAAAAAACAAGAACAAAGCTCGAATTTCGCATTTTATGAAGCTGTTAATGCTTAGCCATGTAAGAATGTATTCACTGAGGCCATTCAATTGGAATTCACACAAATGAAACTATGGCGTGATGACATTAAAACATAATGAGGGTCACAGCTGGCATCCATTTGCTCCAAGTAGGTGGCACTGAAGTTCATGACATCTGCAGCTTGCACTGAATGGCCTTTTGGAAACTACACGAACTGGGACTTTCTTTGGTATGTGCCTTACAAGCCATGTACATGCAATATGGAAGATTGTGTGGCCTAGGCCTACATATGACCCTAATTATGTTTCAAACACATTTTGATATTGGACACCTTTTTGGTGACATCAGGCATCAAGAGGATCATTAAAAGTTCCAACAAGCTAAATGGATGAAAGGGAAAGGTAGGTCAGATTTATTTTCTGATGAGATACGATGGAAAGCATGCCTTCTATGTAGCAGGAACTACAAAGAACCCCAATTAGGCAAAGCAAATAAATGCAATTACAGACTATTAACTTCCCCTCTTTGATTAACACAAGGAAAGTGTCGTTAGCATGGCGAGAGATCATTTTTCACCCAAAAATTCAAAAGCTAAGGCTATGCCTAAAGCCACACCTACACTATGGTGTATACAGGCTTTATCATGCCACATACAAACTTGAGAAAGAAACTGTAAGGCATAGAAACAAAAAGCTAACCGCTAACTTATTTTCAATAAAAGAGAGACTAAAGGGAGCACTAAAAACTAATGTTGTACATTATGACCATATATAAAAGATGTTTGAAACGTTTAATTGCTCTCCATGGAAAATAAATTGTTTGATCTAAATCGCTTTGATTTAAGACTCTGAAGAGCCATAATCCTTATTGAACTGTTTAAGGGTGAAAGACAGAATGCATGCGTGGCTGTATGTCAAAGGAGAGCTGGATGCTATTATGTCCATGGACACAAGGGACAGATTCTTCGGGATGCTTCTAAAACACAATCTAGATGCTGTGAATGTGGGGTACGTCACGCTAGCATGGGCAACATTGATCTGCATTAGGCAAACAAAAGCACATTGATGGTGATCGGAGTGAACTGATGGCTGCTTAGCACCACGGGCGCTTCTATGCGTCAGCTTTTTGTGATGTAAACGTTAGTGCTAGCCAAGCGGCTAAGCTCGCAATGAGGTATTCACATCCATCACGGCTGTGTGCGACCATGCCCCGATTAGATAAGACAGGAGGCTGACTGACGGGCTTAGGAAGCAGCTGGACTGTGAGCAGTCCACTCCCAGGGCTGTGCAGAAGGGCCAGGTCACAGAGATGTCAAACCCAACCCCTGAATGTGCGTCATGCACTTTTCCTCATCTGTGCTTCTACTCTACATTCATATTCACGCAGGACTCATTCTTATGGCAGTGCCAGCAGTGTAAGACTGTAATGTCTGTTGTCACTGAGTCTCTGATATATGCTGGGCAATGGAACTACGAAGTGCTGCAACCTATGAGGTAATAGAAGGCAATATTTAAATGACAATTTTAAGGTTACGGTCTCAGCTGTTGGTTTGACTACATTAATGCAGCGTAAAGTATAAGGTATCATACATAAGATTGCATTAAGATGATTGGCAAAACTGAACAACTAGTGAAAATGACAATGTTGATAAGACAATCATGAATCATCATTGTTATTTTGAAGGTACAATTGTGTCTAATGAGACAAATTCCTAATACATATTAATGTATCTAGGCCTTGTCATGGCAAAACCTTACAGCTGCATTTTCTTTTCATTTTATTATTTTTTTACACCATATAAAAATGCCAGCTAGTTCTCACATTGTGTGAATACTGCACAATGAATGGGCTGACCCATACTTTGAAATTAATTTTTTATTACATTAACGTCGATTAAAATGAATGTTTTTCGTCAGTGATTCTGAAGTGGTTTTTTTCATTTAATGTGGCCAAGAACTGCCTGCTTTGACAGGAAAGGGCCGTTTGACTGACATGCAAAATAACCAATAATAAACGATTGTTTCAGTGTGACATCATAGAGCAGGTGATTTTCAAAACAAGAATAAATAAACCTCAGTATTCAAATAAACATCAGTATTCATCGTCAACATATAGTTGTATGCAAAAGTTTGAACAACCCTAGTCAAATGAATATCCTCAGCAGGAAACTAACTTAAATATACAATGTCCTGCAAATAAATGGAAATGTACAATTTGAAAGTATTTGCTGAGTTTCATATTGGAAACATATTGCAAAACATAAAATATAAAATGAGCCATAAGTTTTGCACAAGAAAGCTAAGAAAGAAGGAAGCTCTTGAAAAACTTTGCAAGATGTGATGCCAAGAACTTCACAAATGCTTTTCAAACCAGAGACTATATCTCATATAAGACTCAGACACAGCATGCAAAGCTTGCAACTGCTTGCTAAAGTTTGTTTCCTGTTAGACAGATAAAACTCGCAACATGAACGTGCAAAGAGCCAATCAGAATGCAAGTCCACATAGTTTCTACAGATATCAGTCACTGTGTTTACATGTAGGAAGAGTGTTTGAGACTGAGACTACCATTTCAGAGATAGAAAATTTCCACAATAATATGCATTTCACCTTGTTTAACATTCAAACACTTACAGAATCTTCAGATTTGTGGCTTCCAGGACCTTCATTCTGGGAATCGTCAGGGAAGTCGTTGTGGCGGCTCAGGGTGAACTCGCGGATGAAGACAGCTTCTCCATCACTAGCCTCTGCCCACACCTTAGGACAGGATTAAACAGAAACATTAATGTATAACTACTGTTATCCCACCTAATTATGCCATTCTCTCTTGGGTGCTATTTGAATGGATACATAGTTTATCACCAATTTAATATTCCATTTTCTAGACATAGATCAAACAAATGAAGCTGAGGAACATGTGCAGGACTACTTCTCTTAGAAAATGGTGAGAACTAGCTAAATAGAGTTTAAATGGAGAAAGAGCACTGAACATAACTATTATGTGTCTGGGGTTCATTAGGTCTTGTCAAATATTCACCCAGTGGCCTTTATGGACCATGAAAACAATGTGAGTTCTCCATTGGGCTAAAACCATCTCTTCTGTCTATCACTACTCAAATGTACCACAAGAACAGTGTATTTTTTCTAGCATTTCATGCACATTAAAATGGATTTTCAGGCTGTTTGCTTGACTAAACGGTTTACGTTATGTGGTTAGCCCCTGTTGCGCAGGGGTCTCCCGTTTGTGTTTACAAAAGCTCCCCATATTAGAAGTCACACCGGGGGAGAGCTTGGACAGGGCCCATTAACAATAGCAATCATTCTCAAGGATGCACAAACTCATGGGCCCCTGCCTCAGCTGCTCTCCTTGGGCCATAAACGCCCCATAATGAGGGAGGTCAACTGTGGGCCTTGGAGGGTCCGTGCCAAGCAGGAGATGGCGGGAGTTACTGGGGGGCCGAGTGGGAAAAAGACAGATCTGAATTGCTGCTAAGCAACGTCTACAAAATATGGGCCACAGAAGTGTGGGAATGCACCCATGAAGCGATGTGAAAAGTGACAAATCAAATATGTGCTAATACCCAAATCTCAGCACTGTCCACCAAATAATCTGGCTGGCAAGGGATCTGTATCAGTACAACAATACATTAGAATCTAGTGGGATGATCCAGAAAGTACATACTGAAGTTGCCATCCCAGTTTGCCAGCATTTCTTTCAATTCTGCTGTCCAAATTGTAATACTGATGGTTTTACATTACATTCTTATTGCGCTCACCTGCACTTTTATGATAATGAGATTTCTGCGGTAACCTTTTCACCTTGAGTTGGAGGAAAGTAATGGAAAAGTTGGCCGTTTTGCCCATGGTGGTAAATTGCAACCAGCATGACTGACACCGGATATCCCATTCCCATTCTGAAACTAAACCAATCCTCTCATGGGATACCTTCCATATCCCAGCATCCAATTTTTTTAATACCATTTGTTAGTGAGCTGTGCAGTGGAAGCAGAATAACCCACACTGTTTAATGTGACATGCTAACAAGTTTGATTCCATCTGTAAATACAGTTGTTGCAGTGAGTTTTATAACATTTGGGCACTGGTGAGTAATTTGTGGTTGAGCAATGTTAGAGGACAATGTAAAACAGAAATAAGTAAACATGAGGCCCACGAACTGCACAAGTAATCCAGAAAAACATGGGAATGTGAATTAAGTCTGTTTCCCCAGGGATCTATAAGATCCTCCCTCTAGTGTTAGAGATGTACAACAGATCTGTCTTAGCAGATATAGGTCTTAAATAATGCTGAATAATATTTCATGACCACACATGACAGAAGTAATCAAAAATGTCACAATAAGACTAAAACCACGTATAATATCTCTAATGCCTGAAGTGACTTAATATCAAGACTGACAGATCATTTACACTAGATGTTGGAATACTGCTGTAAGCTTTGACTGCATTCAACCACATGAGCATTAGTGAGGTCAAGTGCTGATGTTGGATAATTAGTAATTTATCTCGAAGGTATTGGGTGGTGCTCCATCACTCCAGAGAGCAAAGTTCCACTGCTCTACAGCACAATGCTGGGGAGATTTATAACCCTCTAGACTGAGGCAAATAAAGTACTCATTTTAATACTGCTAATACTGCATGAAGTGTGATAAAATATTAAACAAGCAAGCTGACAAAGAGGACAGACCATACTTTTTAAAAAGCTGCTTTCTCTTTAGCAACTAGGGTAAATCTGTTTAGTGATGCTTTCAGGACAATGGCGACAATGAAGAAACCCTCTAATATGCTTTATAACTTGGTCATCAGATTGCAACAGCATAATACTAATTTCCACTAGTGCATCTAGGAGATATCAAATTATGTTAGCATCAAGCTAGCCATGGAGAACATATTTCAATTTTATACATTTGTAAACAAGAACCATTTTACAGTCTCATCTTTAGTAAAGACTTTAATTTAGGCATAAATTAACTTTGCAAGGCCACGCCTCCCATGCACCTACAGTAGCCCGGCCAGTGGCAGTTTGCCACAATATATATAGACACAGTTTTTGTTATGTCTGTGGAACTGGATGAAGGGACAGAAAAAACAATGCCTGTTTAGAAATCCTATTTACAACAGCTAGAATCTGTCGGCGTGGTCTATCTTTCTCTGTGCACTGGGCATCACCCTTAGGATTCCAAACTCTTGATCAGATTTGACCCTTTCCATTTTTTTCCTGGGCAAAATGAATGCCAGCTTAAAACATTGGCCACATTTCACCAATCCAAAGCTTCAGACACCAGTTTTAGTAAACATGGCCACCATAACATAGCCTGGTAATATGTTTGAGTTGCTAATTTTAAATCCATTTGATAGAGCATAGAAAAATGAAATGTTAAGTGGACATAATTCATGTTTGAATAGCAAATACCACAAATTTTGATGAGTATTCTCTAAAGGTTTTCAGAATTTAGAAAGTAATAGTACTTTCAAGTTACCTCATTTGGTTTTAGGCCTGGATTATTACTGCTGTATGTATTTACCATATTCTGGTTTCAGCTCTGTGGCTAAAGGTCTGTATATACTGGCACGTAATTTTATTAGACTGTCTTACTTTAGAGATTTCATTCATATTTACTATTATTTGAACAGGCTGGCTTTGAAAGGGTTCAGATGGTCTTGTGTTGTTATCTCTAAGTGGATGTGCTTGATGGCAAGTATATACATCGTCCACAAAGTCATATTTCATCATATGCTCAATTCTGTCTGACAATTTGTCATTTTCAATGCACAGCCTCTATAAAACAATGCGCATATACATACATTTGACATTTTGTTTTCATATGCAAGGCACCTTATGAACCTGGCTAGTAATTACACTTAAGTTTAGTAGGTTAAAGGTTATCCACAAGGGGGAGCTACAGACACTTGGGTAGCTTTTCTGAGCATCATTAGAAAGAAAGTACTTGCATAAATAGTATTTATGAACACAATTTACGGTTATGGTATGAGGAATATTCATTTCGTCATCTAAGTTGCGGATGACCATAGGCAAGAAAGCAGCATGAGTGCTATGGAAGAGGGGTACTTAGCATCAGTGACGGTGTGGATAGGGCAAGGCAGCAGCGTCCAGTATAAGACTGGACCCCTCTGTTAGAGCGGTGAAAAATGGCACCGCCCTCCCAGTTGGTCGATAACAGGAAAATAAATGGAAATTCCTAACATGTCCTGACTGCACACTACTCCGTGGAATGGGAAAACGAAGTATAGCTCTTTGAAAATCTTTCTATCTGTCTACATCAAAGAGGGTACGGACGAACACAACAAATGCTTGTCAGATGAATATATATGCAACATCAAAAGCTTCTCATAAGGATTTGTGTGCCAGATAACATTTTTGAAGTCATTCAGTCAACCAACAGCATTGGGTGTGTGTGTTATTCTGGCAAATTATCACATTTCAGCAGCACATAACTCCAACTTGCTGTTGAAGGTACAGGCTACAATTGAACATATTCTTGGCTACATGATCGTGTTTAACAACTTCCAAGTGCTGGTCTACTTTATATACCTCATATAGCCTGAGCCCTCAAGCAATTATTGGATCTTATATGATTTATATCCTATATATTAAGGTACATGTAAGACTGATACCCAATGTTCGAGTACATTTTGGAACGGCCCCTATAAAAGGCAGTGACAGGAGTAGGTATAGACATGGAATACAAGATGAAACATCAAGTTGATCAAATGTCCCTGCCATACAGACATCAATAAAGGGTCGGAATGGAATGTAACCTCAATATGCTGCAGCAGAAAATCTATGAAAGATCTATTTGGTCCAATTTTTGAAGCATTTTCAGACATGTTGACACCCAGCTGACATTTTCAGTTCGTGTACTGTGTATGTTGGGTCACAGTCAACCTTGAAACAGTCTCACAAGCCAAACTTCTGCCAATCGGCATAGTCTGGTGCTTTTCGCTACAAAACATGGCCAAGAACCACCTCCCTTTTCAAGAAGATGCTGTTTAACTGACATACAAAACGACCAATCACAGCCCACTGATTTACTGGAGGCGAATGTAAAAATTCCCATGGATATATCTTCCTCCGAAAAGCTAATTTTTCATCACAATGTCCTGCGCAGGCAACTGTTTGCTATTGCTGACTAGAATTTAGCTGAAAAAACAAAACTTTGATAAACAGGATGAAAAAAGTTAGACTGAAGTGCATACACACAGATGTGTGGATAGCCAATCAGAAAGCAACTGACAGAATCCTGATGGCTGTGGCCAGATTTGTGTGCAAACGATATCAGACGCTCAGTTTCTGTGTGGGAGAAGCGTCTATAGCTGAGATTACCTTGAAATGATTTCATGATGGCTTCTTTAGGGCTATCGACAACATATCCCCCCCACTGTTGAGACAGAAAGAGGTGGCGCTTAGCCTCGTCCTGACGACTCCATGGTGCATCCATATCACACCGTCTTTCAATCAATCAACAAGCCTTTATCCAAAAAGAGGGGCTGCCGAGTGAAACCTGGCTGAACTGAAGCCTAATGGAGCACGGCAGCCAAGTCTTCTCCAGAGTGTTTAAGACAAATTTATCAAATTCCCTTCTTCACGTCTTGCTTAAGAAAACAAGTCGGCTGTTAAAATCAGATGTCATGGGGCCTGTACTCCCACTGGACTCAGACGTTAAGTGCTGGCAAGAATCTCAACACCCCTCTTCTCCTTAGACAACAGTGCTCTCCCTG